TTTTTTTGGGGCCCCCCCCCCCCCCACAAACCAACCAGCCACCCCTAACCATTTCATCCTGCACGTCGCTCCAGGTGCCACCAATTTTATTAGCATTCATTGCTGACAGAGCTGAGCAAGTAAGTATCAATGGGGGGAAGAGCAGGAGGGATGGGAGATATGTTTGCTGGGTGGGAGAGGTTGGGGGACTAAAAATATCCCCTGGTCCCCCTGTACCCCATTGCAGATCCTGCAAGCCCCCCCTGATCTCACCAAACCCTCCCAGATCTCTGCAGGTCCTGCCTGTATCCCCAATCCCATTGACCACACTCACAGACCCCCTATATGACCCTAGACCTGCTTACACTGCCATTCTGTCCCCCATCCTGATTTACCTTGGATCACATAGCCATTTTGATCCTAATCTAACATCCCCCTAACCCTCTTCAATATCAGCACTTATCCCACTGTCCATCTTTCTTAATAGTTTTAAATTGAGATTGGCCTTTTATCAGATCAAGGAAATAAATCTTTGTATTTGAAAATATTGATGTGATAAATTAACTCAAACGTGCACAGGCACACTTGAATGCAGAAATGTCTATCCTGGCTTGAGTAACAACAGCAAATTCAGTAGGCCACTCAACCCTTGTTTCTGGGGCACGTTCATTTTCTCTCTCAACTTTTCTGTCCTCTTCCACACTGGAAACCATTCTTATTTACTGTAACTTTGCTTATGCTAGATCAATAACTTGACTATGGCTTCCAAAGCATATCTAGAGAAAGATGGCTAACCGCACTAGCTTGATGTCAGGCAGCAGGCAGGACATGATGGTGTCTTAAAGACTAAAGCATATCTAGGCAATAGTAATTACCAATTTGCATATTTTTTTAAGACTTGCTGAACAGTGAGATTACTGCAGGGCTATGCCAAAGCAGGCAGGCTGATTCATGGAAAAGAGGAGGTTCGATGTTGTTTTAGGCCTCTTTGAAAGAAAATGTACATAAAATATCAATAGATAATATATTTAATGTCTTGGCTAGCATTGTTCCCCATGATGCTTTGTTTCCATGTCTGCCAGTTGGGTTGTACGTAGTCTTCAATGATATGCAGACTTTGCCCTGGCGATGTTGTAACTCCATGATCAAGACTTTGTTTGCAGAGCACTGTTATTCTCCAAGTCTCTTCCCCCCTTTTTTGTTGGCTTCAGCATGAAGCTTAAAACAATACAATTGATAAAAAAAAAAAAAAACAACAATCTACTAATCTGCCTCGTGAGTATAAGAATGCCAAAGTACCAATATTTTTGGCTTGTTCTTTAACGAAGAATCCTTTTTTGCCCCTGTTCATAGACTAGTGTCTACAAAAGCTACTGTAGTGCCAGTTACTGGTTACGTTCTTCCAGTCAAAACCTGCAGTTGTCTTCAAGGTAGCTATTGCTTTAAGGGAAGACTAGTGCTTTTTGGTGTGACAAGACCTAAAACAACTTCATGCATGTTAACATGGGGTTTGAGTAAAATTAAAAATAAAAATACATAAATTAATTAAAATTAAAAAACAGGATCTTGAGACTATCATGTGGCTCAAAACATTTGAATCTCTAGTGAGGGCTTTTTTTTTCATTCTCTTCTGCAATCTTTTGTCAACCTGTTCCTATAGTTGACAATTACCTCTGAGAAGACATCTCATCATCTTTTGAAGCCATCTGTGGATATCTTTCTTCTAGGAGCAAGGCCTCTACCAGTCAAGGAAATACGATTTTCAGATGTAGCAGCAAGAAAGTGCATTGTATTATTGTGGAAGTGGCATTGAAAGCTACTTTTTAAGTTACCTAACAATTTGCACTCTGACCTCCTGTTTTCAATTGCTCATAACTTTCTGAAACTTTCATTTTTCAGGCTGACATTTCTCAGCCTGACATTTCAATTATTTTTGACCACAAGGAGAGTGCAGAGTGCAGGATAGGGGGTGGGGAGATAATTTTTGCAGCTTTTTAAATAACAGCTGAAACAGCCAAGATTGAATGTTGAAATTTAGCACAGATATATAACTGAGGAGAGTGCCTTTAAGTAATCTCGATACAATTGTTTTTTTTATGCGACTAAGTTATGTTTTAGCTCAACTAGAAGTTACAGACTTGATTTAGACATGACTTGGTGAGATTCTATGGCCTGTGTTATACAGGAGGTCAAACTAGATGAGCATAATAGTCCCTTCTGGCCTTAAAATCTATGAATCTATGAGCCTTTTAAAATTACATACTGAGCCTTTGCACTGCATTTGGTACAAGTTGTATTCTCAGCTCCTAACATCTGCAGTTAAACATTTCCTGAATATTCTTCCTTATCTGGTTGATTTCAGCCTGGGTTGGACAGTAGCCTGCAATGTTCAGGGGCTGAAGTAAAGGCACTGTAAGGCCTCTTGGCCTCGGTACATAAAGACCTCATAAATTATAGAAGAGTTGGGTATTGGTGCTGAATGCTTTTAAGGTGCACAGAAATGCGCCTTCCTAGCTGAGGAAGTTGTAATGTGCTTTTCTTCTGTAGACATCCTAGAGCTGTGCAAACTGTCCAGTTAGCTAGCAACACAGTTCCAGTTCATTGCATTAACATCTACCATTGCCAAAATTGTACAAGTTGAAAGAACTTTTGAAGTAGTGCACAACAAGGCCTGGAGTCTGCAGGCTGCATCAGTAGAACCTTTCTGAAATTGGCAGTGCTCCTCCAAGAGGCAGAGGTCTGCTCAGGCAGAACAGTCTTTGGATTTTGAGCAAATAAGGTCTTTTTTGCATTTAAAAACACCTATGAAACTATGTAAATAACTTCATGCTTAAGCCATTGATTGGGAAATGACAAAATTTAATGTTTGAACAACCACAACTTCATTCAGTTTGTAACTAAATATTAGGCTTTAATTCCATATTTGACTCTGCTTTTCCTTGCACTATAATATTAGCTTACAAAGGCTGTTTTTGTCAATCTTAGACAGAGATCTTCTGTTCTTTACACTATTCTTTATATGCCAAACAGTTAAAAAGTTGTTTGTATCAAGAATATATTTATTCAGCATAGAGTATCTGAAAAATTGCAGAACATGTTGACCACTCAACTTTGTAGGTAAAGTAGCTTTGTAGTTAACTGTCAGCTCCCAGACTGCAGGAGGGTATGCTTCTGGTTAAGCAGAAAACACTTGATTAGATAAATGTTGAAGGCCAATAAAAAGATATCAGAACAGTGAACACTAAATTAGCATATTAAAAACTACTTGTGTGTGTGTATATACAGACATGCTTACTATTTTTTTTTACTAATTGTGTATGTGTGTATGCAAGAGTCCCCATGTTCCAGCAGATATCGAAGAACAGTATTTTGTATCGTCTGAGGGGAAAGAAAATGGGATGACTAGACTGTATCATAACACGCACAAGGGGGCAGAGTTAGTTATACATGGATATGCTCTAGCGTATCATGGCTTCAGACTATGTAGCTGTATAACTGTGATGTACTGTTCACATAGATTTTTGTGTTTTGTTTGGGATGTTAAGCATTACTAGCAATTCCATGTATATTTTCTTTTTTATTTAATTTATTTATTTACTTATTTATTTAAAGTTTATTTATTTAAATAGTGCATAGCAAATGTTGAAATGGATGTTGACAGAAAAAGGAAACTTAGGTTGCACAAGTATCAGTGTCTCTATCGTTCTGGTAGTGACTTTGCAAGAAAAAGAGCATTGTGTCCTTCCATAAAATGAGGAACTGACCCTAGGTAGTATTTATTTAAAGAAAGTTCCTATAGCTTTATATTTTTGGTCCCTGCAGTTGTAACTGTTGTGCTGTCTTCCAAAATATTTCATTAATATATGCAGGTTGCATGTGTATGTGTGTGGTATGTATATATGTACACCTGCATATTTTAATGAAAGATTTTTATATATAATCTTAATGATAGATTAGATATAAACAAATAATCCAGTTGTATGGAAATATAGTATCATATATGATCAGATTCTGATTCCAGTTACACTGCTCTAAATCCAGCATAATTTCACTGAAGTCAGTTAACTTCAATGCAGTTAACTTTGGTGTGGTGCAAGGAAAAGTGGTATCAGAACTAAATATTTTAATGTGTTGTTCAGTGAGGTTAGCTCCCAAAATACAGTATTTTAATAGAGAATAAAGAAAATATTATATCTCTCCAACTGTTGGATGATGATGTCATTTGAAATGATCCTTTTTCTCTGTGTTGGAGAAAAATGTTTTCTTTATCCTGGTTTGTTTATGCTGCTCCTTTTGAAGACATTTTTTTAAACCCTCTGATTTCATAAAACTAGAAAGCTCATTTTTTGTGAGAGCTACGTATGACTAACAGTAGTTATTATGTATTGTTAAAGGAGGTCACTGAACAAGTTTTTATTCTTATAAACAATTCCAGGTGGATGATTACAGACAATACAATTTGTGTGTAGATACGCACAAACACACTTTTCTTTTTCTCTCTAGCATTCATGCAATAACATTGAAACTTGAAAAATATATATAAATATAATCAAACTAACTTTTATTTTTCTTTTTATATACAGGCAGAAATTGTCAAGAGACTGAATGCTATATGTGCACAAGTTATTCCCTTCTTATCCCAAGAGGTAAGATGGTAGTTTGAAGGTAATCGCCTAAAAAGTTGCCTTCTGATTTTCTTTATAAAAGTGGGGCTTTGATGGTTTGGCTTTGTGATTCTTATGGTGCTTGTTTGACTTGCAAAGATACTGTTCTCATTGCAATTTTGACAGTGTATTAAAATTAATTAAAATATAATTTAAATGTATATCTGTGATGGAGCTGTTCTAATGTGTTTAGCAAAATGTGGTTGTGTAAATTTATTTTGCTGTCATGTACAATGCCGTGTTGTTGTGCAGAATTTTGACTTGCCAAATTGGAACCAAGTAGGCTAGATTGAAAAATTGCTAGAAAGGCATGATTTGTGCTACATTCTTGACAGTGGACTTTAGAAGTTGGCAGAAACTTGTGTAGATCTATCAAATGGTGATGCTTTAGACAGTGAACATACTAATGCAGCTTTTGTCTGTCGTATTCCTTGCATGCCAGATTACTTATTAACTTAAATATCCTTTTATATTTTCTGTGTTTGGGGGAAAATACACAAATTAAGCACACTAAGCACCAGTTTTCATGAAATGGTGATTCACTGGCATGAACATTGCAGTTGCCTTTCAAGGGATGGGTTGGTACTAGCAGGGGAACCGTGTTACCCCTGACTTGTAAGGGATCAAACGAGAGGTGGCTCATGAAAGGAGGCTCTCGGGTACATGCTAACAATTTTTTTTATATTTTGAGGGGAGAAGTGGGGGTGGATTATTGGAGGCTGTTAGAAACAGGCTGACTTTCTTTTTGGTATAATTCTGTCTTCATTTCAGTAAAATGAAAGGTGGGAAGTTAAAGCTTATATCAATGTTTCTTTGTAGTACAGCTGCAAAGCATTGTATTGCTGTTTGAGAATGCACTAAGATTCTGTCTCCCACTCTTTCAATTGTTCCATAAAGTGTCATTGCTTTTCAAGAGAGCTGTTCATTCTTCTGCTTACTAGAGGTCAGATGTTTGATATTAGCATTCAGCCAATAGAGAGGGAGAGAGTGTGTGTGTGTGTTGGAAACAATGAACATAACACTGATAGTGCTAGAGATGGGCAGTGATCAGAAGCTGCTGCTTTACCCTTCGGCCTATAGAAGTGTGTGTATGAGAGACTTTTTCAAACCTTTATGATAAAATGTTAAAAATAAAAGGTGAAAGTGCAAAAGTGTGGCCCTTCTCTGGGGTGAGCATGAAACACTGTCAGCAATGAAAACACTCATATCTGCAAGATAGAAACCCTCTTCTACCAGTGACCTTCATAAGATTACACATTTAGGACTAGCTCCCTGTCTTCCACGTTGGAGAGTGCCCTCTTGGTGGCCTGGTGTAACACAAGCTTGTCCACATCTTGTTTCAATGTGAAGTATCCAAAATTAAATGTGGTGCCAACCCAGACCAAAAAGCAGAAGTTAGATACACAGAAATGATACTAGTTACTTGTTCTTAGTGACACTAATCCCCTTTCTTGGGTACCTGACTGATAGGATCCTGTCTTCGAGGCTCTCCTTGAAGAGGCATGGGAGGTCTGGGCTGAGATAGGGCCTGAAGGTCTTGTAAAATTTCAACAGGGAATCCGTCAAGGGCTGGCAACTTCCCCATGTTGTCTTTCCCATTTCCCACCACTGTTTCCAGGAGAGGAAGTAGTTTCTTGAGGGTGTCCAGATCTGCTAGAAGTATGTGCAGTAATCCCAAAAGTGGGCATCCTGCAGCAGGCTGAAGTGCTGGCTGGGCTGCAAGTAAAATCAGGAAGGTCAAATTTCTACTAGAACATGTGGTAGTCTGAGTCCTGATGGAGCAGTATGGCTGCAGTGAAGCAGGAACAGGTGGTTTTTGGTGAAGTAGGGTCCAGCTGACCCATGAAGAACCCATTGGCAGTCACTTTCACCCAAGTATACTGCCTTGTACTATGTGAGAAGTGCGTCGAATAGGCTTGCTGCCTGAAGTGTCATCTGTATTGGTCAAGCAGAGGATGAATGGGGCTCTGGTCCATTCTGGTCAACTCTTTCCTGGAGAGTGCAGCTAAAATCATCTTCTAGGATGAGGAGGTAACTTAATCAGCTATAGGCTGTGATAGGTCTACCAGCATCCTGAAAAAATGCACCATTTCTCACCCTTCATTGAGTTCATAGGTGCTGTTATGATGAGCCCAAACCCTTCAACATAGTGATATGAATTTGTCTCCATTTGAGTTGCCAATGAAAATTACCTCAGTCTTTGTACTCATTTGTTATTTCTTATTCGCTATAAACGTACTACATATCTGGCCATGTCTTCATTCAGGATTTGAGTAACAGGTAGATGTACTGGCTTTCTGTTTTACCAAGCATTCAAAGTGCTTATTGCTGACTTAAGCCAGTGCTGTTGGGCAGAAAGTGAGATCTGGTGGTTGCCTTAAGCTATGCTGCATTCAGAAGCCTTGTATTATTATTGTTACTTCTTGTGACTACAGTTTTAGTGCTTTTCATTTGAAAACCTAAAGAAATCCTTGTTTCAGTACAGATTAGCCAAACTCTTCATTGTACCAACCACTACTCCACACATCTTCTGCATAAAATACAGAACTGTGTGTAGGGGACAGTAGACTTATTAACTGGAAAAGAAATGTTATTGCTTGATGGTCTCTGGTTTAGTTTGTTTTTTTCCTGCCATTTTGAACACTTGCAGCTTAACCCTTTCTGTATGAGTGTACATGTAAAGAGCCAGTACCATTTTGGGCTTTATGGCTAAGTACAGACTTTCAAAATTCCAAGCCTGAATTGCTTCAATCTTTAAGGTTAGTCTAACCTGCATAGATTGAATCGACAAGCAAGTGAATAGACATCCACTTTTGATCCTGGAAATGTAGCCATGTGCCTGCAGTGGCTCAGGTTAGAAGCTGGGGGGTGCTAGAGTGTGAGCCCTTCCCTTCCGCAGTGGCTGGAAGGCTGGAGGGGAGCTGAGCTGGGGGGTGGAGGGGACATGGCCAGGCCCCGCAGCAGGTCCGTCCCAAGGGGAGGACGAATCGGGGTAACCACCCTGGGCCTTGTGCTTTGGGGAGGCCCTGTGGAGTGTATATGGCACTGACCACTGCAGCCACCATGCGCTGCTGCTCCCAAGCACCACCAGCTCTGCTGCTGAGCGCTGCTGGCTCTGGCTGCTCACCATCCTCCACCCCTCAGGGTCCCGCACAGGCTGCTATGCCCCAGGCCGTGCACATCCCTAGGGATGGCTCCGCTGCCATCAGTGGGGAGGGGTTTAAACCCCCACCCTTGGCTGCAGGGACCCCAGCCAGGGTGTTCCTGGAGGGGAAGCAGCCCTTACCAGGCTTGTCCTCAGCAGCAGGGGTGTGGCCAGCTGGCAGCCCAGGCAGTACCTCAGAAAAAGCGGGGAGGGGGTTAATGCCACCTGCCTCCTCTCTCCCACTGACACGGCTGGCTTTTTTCCCTGCTGGTTGCTGGAGTAGCAGGGGGCAAGGCTAGCCGGTGGCCTGGACAACGCCTCTGGTGAAGGTGGGGGGAGGTGGGGTTAAGCTCCCCTGCTTCCCCTCTCCCACCGGCACAGAACCCCAGCCGGACTTTTTGCCACTGCTCATGGCTCAGCATGGCCCCAGAGCCCCCCTCCCAGCCAGGGGGTGATCGTGCTGTGCCTTCCCAGCCTGGGGCATGGGTTTCACTTAACAGCTCAAGAGCATAGGCTAGATTTGAGGGAGGGAGGGGAGCAAAACCGGCTCCAAGCCCAGGTGGGGACATGCACAAAGAAGAGCGCAGAGGCATCGCGGTGATGGCAGCTCCATCCTGGATGTGAGCTCTGCTGAGCAGCGGGATGCAAGCTGGGGGGTTGAAGGGAGTGGGGAAGGAGTTTGAGTGTGTGTCTGTGCTAGCCCGTGGCAGAGCCAAGCGAAGCGTGCAGCTGGGGGAACAGCTCCTGCCTAGTGGCCCCTTCTACCTGCTTGAGAGCAGTGCCTGGGCTGGGCCTGGCCCCAGACCCTGCAGTGGTGCACGTGGGATGGACTCACCCCAGCAGCCCTGCCTGCAGCTGGAGAGGCACCAAGAAGCTGGATAGTGTGATGCTGAGCCCCTTCATGGGCTCCAAGGCAGACAGGTGCAAGGGCTTCCTGGGTGACAAGGAGGAGCGGGCTGCGCCTGCTGTTGTTTCATGGTACTTGCTGGATGGCCTTAGCCCCCGGTGCTACTAGCTGCCATTCCCCAGGCCACCTGCCATTCCCTTACCCAGTGGTGGTGGCCCAGCACAGCCCCATGTACCAGGCGCTATTCCTACAGCTCTGTGCTTCCCCTGGGTGGCTTCCCTGTTGCTGCCACCGCCATTTGTCCACTTGGTGGCCAACTGCATTTCGGTGGCACAGGCAGTGCCTACCAGTACATCCAGGGTGGGCGCCCCTGACGGTGGCAGGGACAGCATGGGAGTAGTGCCCTATGCTTGGTGCCTGGTACACTGAGCCATGCTGTGTTGCCATCAGGTAGGGGAAGAGTGAGTAGGGAATGCCCAGTTTAGTGCCTGGTAATCTGGGGGATGGCAGGTAGTAGCGCTGGGGGCTGAAGCTGGCCAGCAAGTACTGTGTGGGGGCAGTGGATGTAACCAGCTCCTCCTTGCTACCCAGGGAGGATTTAACTTGAACCAGGAAGGGGTGTGGGACAAAAGTTCCATAAACTGGTTTGACCTAAATCAGTTAAGCCTAATAATAGTATGTTCAACCAGGTTTATTTTAACTAGTTTTAGCCATTTTGAAACTGGTTTATGTGCACTGAACTTCTGTTATCTTGCAAGTTTAAACCAGTTTCTGATTGTCTCAATGTAGTTTATGAACCTTATTGCTGCCCAGCTAGGCATGCAGAATAATTTTTAGGTGTGTAATTTAGAAAAGTAGTTGCATGCTCAAGCCTTGCATCATGTTCCCAATAAATCATGCTGATTCTGAGGAACTTTGGATCAATTCAGCTCTTACCTTCAGATGATAGTTACAAAAGGAGGTTGTTTTGCTGTTTTTAACAACACCACA